AGGAAAGGCACGCGAAAGAATAGTTCAATTTCACGAACACACAAATGGACACAGCAAACATCATCATCATGAAATTATGACTTTCACTAAATTTTTAAAGTTTAATTTCAGTATTGGCATGGTGCCAAAAGGTGGAAACTGACGTGCATGCACATGAGGCTCGAGGGTACGTGAAAGCTGAATTTAAATTCTTTGGATTAGACGTAGGCTTTCTAAAGTTTAATTTCAGTACTGGCAAGGTGCCAGAAAATGAAGACTCTGACGTGTATGCACGTAAGGCCTGAGCGGCACGTGAAGGCTGAATTTGAATTCTCTGAGTCACACGTAGGCAAGGAGAATATCTTCGTAAAGTTTCAGCTTTCTAGCTTGTCTGGTTCCGAAATCGCTTTCCCGCCAAAAAAATCTTTCACAGGGCTGCATGTGAGAACTAGCGAGGATGTGAGCTTTCTTTTATGCCCAGAAATCTGTCCGCGACTGTAGAAACTAATTCACACTCAGTTCACTCGCAACCTGTCACGTTCACCACATCAAAGCGCTTACGACACGCAGAAACCCTGAAACATCGCAAACCGTTCCCGCACCAATTCCGCCGCCATTTTGAATGGCAAATTAAGGTGCCGTTGTGCAACAGCTGGACCAAACCTTCGCCAGAAGCAGAGGGACGCCCACGCACGTGAAATAGAAGAGAAGAGACAGGACTAAGTGTTATGTGTAAGAAGACATGTTACGATGCAGTCTGTGTTTCATCCCTTAGCTGTAAACACTGGTGGAACTTTGCATGCTGGTAAGAGCGGGAATCATCAGTACAACTTTCTACCCTCCATGTTATTGAACAGTCATGTGACTAATTTGAAAACTGTTTGCTGTAAGGGATAGTGGAGTAAAAAGATTGGAATTAGGTGTCATGTATAAGAAGACGTTTCATGATGCAGTCTGTGTTTTCTACAAAATATGAGTGGGTGACAGTTCTATGGGGCGTGTGAGGAAAACAGCTCCTTGAAAATGCATAATTTTTACGAACTCCTTTGAAATTGTTGACGGCAAAGCACATTAGCAAGCGACTTTACTCTAGTGCAGATGATCGAGAGTCCGATTCCCCCTCCCCTTCCCTTAGGACAATCATTTCCTTTAAGATTTGTTAATGCATGTGCTAGAGAGTCAGAACTCGCCATCAGCTTGCTTTTAAGCAATTTGCGATATATCACTGGCAATAATCAAGCGATAGTGCTGAATTGCTGCTGGACAGTTTTCTTTTTAAGAAAGAAGCTTACGAATTGTCTGGCAAAAGATGAAAGCTCTGCATCCTGCAAACTGCAATTCGGTATGTGAAGCTTAACTACTGTTCCTGACTGGCAGAAGATGAAAGCTCTGCAACCTGCAAATTGCAGATCTCAATGTGAGGCGATCTTGTCCTGGAAAAGGCCGAATCATATTAAAATTGGCTATGTTTCTGCGTCCTGGACTTCACTCCCCGCTTCGAATTATCCGAATTAGCCGTCCTCCTAAATAAAACATTTGCGGAAGATAATACGACCTCGTGCATTGTTTCCACTTTTCTTTGCATTGGCGAATCTGTCACAACGAATGTCAACAAAATCTGCAATTGCTTCCAGCAAACAGTGAAAAGTTTTTCAAATTTGCTTGTGTATTCGCTACGCAGTTCTCATTTCTTGCTGTAGTCCATCCCTTTAATTAGTTTAATGAATTAATTGCGACTCTAAATATGTGTATTTTACACAAATCCCGAAATCTCTGCGAGTCTCAATAGCACTGACGCTTGTAAAAAGTTAAAAGGAGCTTCTCACAACTAAGCTTAAAATCTCGGATAACTAGTCGAGAACTAGGCGGCGTACTTATTTTGGTGTTGGTTCATCGTTACGTTCCTGCTCACCACTGATGCAGCTAGCAACTTCTTCAATCTACATTTTGAACCTCTATCATGTACACAATTTCATCAAACTTACTGTAGTCGTCTCTTCTGTACGCTTCAGCACTATTCAAGTACCATTCAGTTACGCTAGTTATACATCTGTTGCCCCTCATTCTTTCCATAAACTAGTGCAGCTCTTTTTACTGACTTATGTTATCTTGATCGTTCATTTCAAATTTAGGCTTTTCTGCCATGTCAGTGGCTGCCTATCAAAAAAAAAAAAATTGGCCAGCGCACGGGCTGCCCGTGCGAAGATG